TTTAATCCATTAGTGAATTCCTAACTAGGGTTGCCAAAATGGACCGACTCAGATTGAAGGATCGAGTCAGGCCTAAGGTATTTGGCCCGAAAGTGACTCGTAAAGGCACGACTCGATAAAATCAAGGCTTAAAATAATTGTTAGTTATCTCCTTCTATCCTATCAAATCCCCAGTAGTGTTCCTCAAAATGTATAGGCATGATTTTTGGTTAAATACTAGTACCAACACAGCATTAGTTGGTTCTGAACAGCCGTTTGTTGCGAAACTTTAAAGTTGGGGGATCATTGGAAATCATCGGACATCCGAAATTGGGCCGATTCCAACCCCTCTGTTCAATACAGAATCGAATATAGAATACCCCTCCAATTCAAAAAATAAATGTCCCGATCTAATTATCAAAAATTTTACCTGCTTTTATCTTTAACCACACTTTTTTGCACACCTTCCTCCTCCGAGTCTTCAACAGCCACGTTTTTCTTTTCAAAAACCATATCACCGACGAAGACAAAATCATCAGTAGAAATTGTAGGAGGAGTTATCTCATTGTTAGATTCAGTCGATTCAAAAACCCAATTATTTGCATCCTCAGTTATCCAGCTATTCCGTTCAGACTAAACTTTGAGAAAGATAATTGATTATGGTTATATGCTCATCCCTAAAATTTAGCTTGGATTTTCCAATGAAGTCCCGGACATATCCTCTACCTTATTCAACTATTCTGGGGTTTGGGCCCACACATTGGAGCTTTGGGTCCACATAACTGAGGTCCCACCTCATTTTTCTAAACAATACGACTAATTCAAGATATTCCTTATTATAAGATACAATTTTTTAGTCTATTAATATTTAATATTAAGGTACGATTTTTTAATCTCTCTATTAATTACCCCATCTACATATAAGCGGTGTTAGTATTATAGTTAGTCGGTATCAGCTAAAGACCGGACTGAGACGAGATCTAGATCGTAACTCTCGGTTATCGAAATCGAGAATTTTTCGAGATCTCGGCTCTACTAAGACACTTCTAGTCCGGTCTCTACTATCAACCCAATGCTCCTCCCTAATAATTTAACTTTTTAATTAAATAAAATTTTACTCCTCGTTTAGGACGCAAAACGTTACTATTGGATGTAACTAAATTGATAGACAACGGTAATGTAAAAATAATTGAAATTAGCAAAGGATGTGGCATCGTGTTCATTCAATGAACCTTTCCAAAAAATATTTTTACATTCGACTCTGAAAGTTAAAACAAAAAAACTTCGGGTTAAGTGGTATTAAGAAATTTGCCGACAATAAAGTTGCGGACATTATTCGCAGAAATATCTGCGGACAACATTTACGGACAATATTTAGGGACAAAAAAGTTGCGGACAACACAAATTCCAATAAGTTCCAATAATAATAATTTAATAATAATAATTTATCTTTGTAGCTCAAAAATTTTTAAAATTGCGGACAACGTAGATATTTAATTAAGCGAATATTTTAGCTAAAATCCTAAAACTAAACTTTATAGCAAATAAATAGAGATGGATATTAATAAAACTTTTAAATTAGGACTAAAATAAAAGAAAATTAATGTTATCTTTTTTAGCTTAATTTCAAAGGTAAAACAAAAATAAATATAGTGACTGAGTTTTAGAACAATTACTTTTTTTTTAATTCGAAAAAGCAACAATTGTTGTTTTAATGTTATATATTTATAATTGTAGCAAATTTGGATGAAAATTTACAAGGCCAATTTATTCTAAATATTGTGCAAGTTGACTAAAGATAGGCGAGAAATTTACCTACAAATATTTGCAGACAACATTTGTGGACATTGAAGGAAAAATATTTTTTTAGGTTGAATAATTTTTAAAAGTGAGGATAAAAAATAAAATAATTCTACATAATATGAATTAATTAAATAAATTTTTTTAGCTAAAAAAGTTCAATTTCTACTTAATATTAAAAAATTCAATTTTTAATTATTTAAATATTTATAAGTCATTCTATTAGTACATAGATCACTAAAAATTATTAGTTCAGAAAATTTTTGGAACGGGGGGTTTCGTACGGACCCCCTTCAAATTTTGCTAAAAGACAAGTCTCACTTTAAGCAGATCCAAGAGTAGCCTCCATATAAGATAATACCTCCATATAAGCCCTAAGAGGGTATTTTATATCGACTATAACAGATAAACCTAGATCCAGTTCGAGCTTTATATTTTTTAGAGATATTCGTATGATACCACTAGTCTAACCTTAAGTCAGAACAAAAATCAGTAGAATAAAGGTAGGGTTGATCTTATACGACCAATACCGACCAGTAAGATATTGGTATGAGTGAGAATGGTTTTTTCTGTTTTTTGGTCACACCCCAATAAGAGAGGTTAGAATTTTGTACCGTACATTATTCCGTATCGTAATACCAATAAAATATAATGTAGTAAAAATAACAAATTTTACACAATATGTATAAATTGAAGAAAAATTTTTTAATTAAAAAAGTCTCATTTTCTACTTAATATGCAAAATTTAAATTATAAATTATTTAAATCGTGTTGTTTGTTACTCAGTTAAGGATAACTTCATAGTAAATTTAGGAAAAGATTTGGAATTTAATTAAGTTTGAAATGCGTAAACTATTCTAAATGCTAATTTTATTTTGAAGGTTTTATGAGGTGAATATCTTAATTTAGAAAAAAGATTTTGTTGTAAAATTTAACGTGGATTGAAGATTGTTCCGGATCTATTTTTTCTTGTGGCTATCTTTTGAGAAAAAGGTGTTTAGAGTTTTGTAGCGGCTTTTCAGAATATTTTCTTCGGATAGGGCTTAACGATTAAAAAGCCGGGGAGTTTGGGTGAGTTAAAAATTTGAGATTTTACGGAGTGTCCCATATTTATGTAATTTCAAAAAAAATTCGTTTCACATATTTCCAAATATTTCTTTAATTTTGATAATTTTTAGAGATAATGAATTGAAATAAAAAATGAAATAATTCTGCATAATATGCAGAAATTAAAAAAATTTTTTAGTTAAAAAAGTCACAATTTTTACTTAATATACAAAATTTTAATTTTTTATTGCTTAAAAATGAGTAAGTCTAACAGAACATACAAATAATAATCGTTAGTCAGAAGACAATTTTTGGGACAGGGGGTTCAAGGAACCCCCTTCTAATTTCTTCTGCAAGACGATTCATAGAGTAGAATATTCATTCTCCTCTGTCATAGGTGATAAAGTGGATTCCTCATTTCCCGTTTGAACAGTACTGTAAATTGCCTAAGGCGTTTAAGTCTCTAATAACGGTAGGCAGTGTATCTGGCGGGAGAGAATCAAACATAATCCCAGCAGATGACTACTAAATGATGAAATTAAGAAACCTTTAGAAAATAAATAGTTTTCCGAATATTTAAAAAATTTATGCTCGCACGTGACTAAAGTTTACCTTTCTTTTACTGGTCGGTAGCAGATCAACTTTACTTTCATCTCGCTGATTTTTGTTCTGATTAAAGACTGGACTGGTAGTATCAAATGAGATTGATATCTCGAAATATGTATATCGATACAGCCTCTAGTTTCAACGGTCAGTCACGATACTCTCTTAGAGCTTATGAGTTGTAGCTTAGATACAAGTTTTGTCTGCCACTCAATTAACTGGAAAAATAGAAGGGGCTTCGTATTTTACTGGAAAAATAGATGGGGGTTCCGTACGCTAACCCCCGGCCCAAAAATTAATTTTTTAAATCTTCGCTTTAATCTTCGCGAATGACTGACAAACAAAATTATTTAAATAGTTAATTATTTGAATTTCTATATATTATGTAGAATTGAAACTTTTTTAAATAAAAATTTTTTCCTTTAATCTATAAATACATACTTTTAGGATAATTACTACCAATTTTACTAGAACGAAACTATAATTAAACAAAGACTAGTGGAGTTCGAATTTAAAAATAAATTCTAAACTGAATAGGTATAGAACTAGTTATTTGCCAGTAGTTAGCTACCTATAGTGTTTGCTGATTCAGGAAAATCTTTGGATATCCAAATCCTAACATAGTTATCGAAATAATATCATCCACAAAATAGTAACAGATTAGAGTTGTCCAAACCGATTTTAATTGGATAAAAGGACACATGGATTTGGAAAATTTGGGAACATTCTGTCTTCCTAATCAGAGGTGGGTCAGAACAGTCAGAGGTGTCTGAAATTGGAAGAGCCGGAAATTGGAACTGGCTCAAAAGTCGGAACTCGGAAATTGGAAATCAAAAATTTTTTCCGAAACTCGGAAATCGCAAAGGAAGAAATGACAGAAATTGAACTTCTGACCAGCCTCCAATAAATATATGTTCTTCTTCTATTTTTAAACAAAGTTTATTTGTATATCTTTAAACCAGGGCTCGGATCGACAAAATGCCAATAAAAAGTACAAAAATCTTGATTTTAAAGTACATAGGGGCAAAATTTCCACATTTAAAGTACACTCAAAATTAAATTAGAAAATATATATTTGTGCTCAAATCTTTTATATTTCTCTCTTAAATTAATCTTTTCTAATAATTTCTTGTTTCAACTTGCATTTTGTGAATTTCAATGCACTTTTTTGTGGAGCCGAAGGCGCCAAAAAATCTATTTTTTTGCGCCGCAGGCGAAAATTTTGAGAAATTTGGGAGTCCTTAAGCCAGATTTCTTCCATTTTTTGCGCCGCAGGCGAAAATTTTGAGAATTTTGGAGGTCCTTAAGCCAGATTTCTTCCATTTTTTGCGCCGCAGGCGAAAATTTTGAGAATTTTGGAGGTCCTTAAGCCAGATTTCTTCCATTTTTTTCAAAATGTTGATTTTAAAGTACATACTTTCAATAAAGTACAAATTCAATTTCGTAAGTACGGAGGTCGATTTTAAAGTACTGTACTTTCAAATAAAGTACGAATCCGAGCCCTGCTTTAAACAAAAGCCATATTATTGTCAAATTAAATCTTCAAAATTATCAATATCATATAATCCCTTCTATCCTCTATTCCTTCTTCTTAATCTCCTCAATAGCCTCTTTCTCCTTCCTTTAGACCCTATTTTTGACTTCCACCCTCCACAAGGCCTAACATTCCTTCCATCAATAGCATTAGCCATCAAGTCAATTCTTTGCCCATTTAATTCAACTTCTCCAAGACACCCAACAAAATTTTGATTAAACATCCCAGCCGTCATAATGTTTAAATCTGGCACTCCTCCAATAAATATATTTCCCTCTACGTTCAACATTGCAAGGATTCCGCTGCTTCTGCCTTCTACTACTTTTCCTCTGTTTATTTGTAATGTGCCGTTGCGACCTCGACGAGTGGCGCGAATCTTTAATATTTAAATAATATATATTAAGTAGAACAAAAGAGTTGAAATGAGGGGCAGGGGTTGAGGATCGATCAAGATTAGAGCTCGATATTTTTGAATAATCCTGATCTTGATACTCAAGATTTTCGAACGAAATCACTTCATGCTTCTTTACTTAAGAGATACAGTATACAGGAGATTTATATAAAGAGGAGGAGTATTAGAATATTTTCTCGTTGTTCCGTGATATGGGAGAGGGGAGGGAAAAATTAAGGGGAAATTCCTGGGGGCATATATCCTCCTGGTCAGTGTTTACCCTAAGATTTATACAAGTCTATTTCACCTTAAGATAATGCGAGGTTTTCAAGATAATTAAAGGTAGTGTAAGGGAGCCAAAGTCAGTATAGGAGGGGGAGAGCTCTTTAGATACTGTAGGGGTCTTCTTAAAGTCCATTAAACTCACCAAATGAGTCTTTCCATCATTCACAGGTCTTTTACTGATTAATTGAGCTGCTCCTCCACCCAATTCATAAGTGAACGATAAATGCCCTCCCAACAGTGAAATAGCCAAAAAATCTTCCCCAAACTGTTCCGTCCCTTCTCTTCTGTCCAGAGAAGGATGTTGACCTTGCCAAAAGATTAAACCATATCTTGCTCTAGTTCTCAATTTGAATTGAATAACTTCTTCCAAATCGCTAATCATATGTGGAAATTCTTCTGAGGAGAATACCTTAATTTTAATTCGTTTGAAGAATTAAAAAATCAATCTTGGCTCAAATCTTGGCTTCGGATATATCAAATTTTGGCTTCGGATATGGATAACCCATGGCATCTTTGCTACATCTAAAATCGTGGCAACAATAAAAGCATCACACTCAAATTATTAACTGGATGCACCTTAGAATGAAACTTGAAATGTTGAAAAAATTAGTAGGGGGTTCCGACACAAACCCCCCTTTCCAAAAATTATTGTCGAAAATATTATTAATTAAGTTATGTTACTGGCAAAATATAAAATTAAAATTATTTTAAATTATGCATATTAAGTAAAAATAAATTTTCTCTAAAATTAAAGTGAAAGAAATATGTGTTTATTTGAAAATAAAATCATGGCTCGGAGGGCTAGTTGGTCCTCTTAGTTTATACAGAGCCACTATTTTATATCAGATTTCTAGCGGTTCCTTAATTTTGGGGGTTAACATTTCGGGGAATATAAGCCTAAAAAAGAAAGCATTTGTTGGGATTAAAGAGCCCTAGCTTCTAGTCACTTAAATCCATTTATTTACAATTCAACTCTCAAGGCTTCCCAGATCATTAAAAAATTTCTCTCTAGTGTTAATAACGACTTACGACAAATGCAGAGCCATCAAAACCCGCTGCATATTCCAATGGTTGGACTTTAATTAGAATTGACAATTTTATAAACCCCCCATAAAAATCTCTACTTACACTCTTCACATTCTTGCCCAGCCCAAAAATCACGGCAATGGCACGTTACATGTGTTGAATTTATTTCTTCACAACTTCCATGTATTCCACAAGTTTTTTGGTCACATAAACCTCGGAATATTTTTTGCTCCAATCCTTCTAGGGTTTGTTTTTGATGATCTACTGTTACTAGGGGCTTTCCTTCTGTAGTGTAGATAATGGTAGCTGGCATTTGGTCTGTTGAGGTTTCTATGTGTGGCATTGTGTATTTGGACCTTTCGACACCGGACATTTCGTCCCTTGACGATTTGTCAGTTGACGTTTTGTCACTGGACGTTCTGTCTTCGGACGTTTTGTCCACGGACGTTTTGTCAGTAGACGTTTTGTCTTTTGACATTTCGATATTTGAAGGTAACAATATGACTGATGGAGCTGGCATTAAAGTAGTCAACTCGTCCTCATCCTCTTCACTCTCTTCTAACAAAGGCGATAAGGTAGATTCCTCATCCATTTGAATAGTACTGTAAATCGCCTCAGGCGTTTGAGTCTTTTTAATAACGGTAGGAAGTGGATCTGGCGAGAGAGTATCAGGCATAATACCAGGATGTGACTAAATTGAAGGGAGATAAAATATTCAAGGAAAATTAAGTAAAAAACTCAAGGATAACTCAAGGTACCTCCTGCCTACGATACCCCTTGGCCTAAAAAACTACCTCAAGAAGTATCTTTACTTGATGGTATGACTAAGGCAGATACCTCTTACATTGGTCTATTAAATTTAAAAAGTTTAATTTGGAGAGTACTTAATTCTAGTATCTATCTTATAGCAAAGGTTGAATGTATTATGTGCATTACCGGTTCTACAGAAGCTTCAACAAATTCTGGTTCATATTTATCTTCTGCACTTTTAACCTCCTGTTCCCTATAGCCAACATCTTTAACTTCAAGCAACGGGTCTTCTGTAACGTCAGTCACCACAGGAATATATGTAGGTGTAGTGGAAGGTGTTGAGGTTGTCGATGTTGCATAGTCTTCCTCATCTTCCTTCTCTTCCCTCCCCTCTTCCTTTTCCTCCCTCTCTTCTTCCTCCTTCTCTTCAACTTTTCCCTCCTCAGTTTTCGCCTGGCACTTATTCAAATTAACGGCAATCGAGTCCTTTTTATTAATCAAATCCTTCAATTCCAACAAATTTCCATTCACACTTAATTCACTCAAACACCCATAGAAGGGCAAAACCTCATCCAATTGGACACTATTTTTGTATTCTTTGCTTCTCTGTTGTGGTAACAATCCTCCAAGTAGAAGAAAAATTCCGGAAGACTGTTCAGGGTATTTTAGAGAAGGCAATTTCCAAGTTCCTTTAGGCCTTCCATCTACTAGCAATCCAACCTCGTCTGTTCCCAATTTTTCTAAGCGGATTAACATGGAATTTTGGGGTCTCAATTTTTTGATTAATGAAGGCCTTTTAGTTGTTGAAGGGGAAGATTGTTGCAAGTCTGAAAATATTAAGGTTATCATCTGACTTAGACACTTTTCTAACATATCTTAATCATTCAGCTACCTCTTAAAAGTAGGATCAAGATAAGAGTTATAAAATAGCGTGGATAGATAGGTGGCAGCGTAACAGTATGATTACTCATATCAATGACTTTATAATAGGGTTGCGCCCCGACCCCGACTTTGCCAACCCCGAAAACACCGACCCCCGACTTTTTCAACCCCGAAGGCCAGTTGGAAAAAAAGTAGGTAGGCTTATCGAGGGCCTTCGAACGATATAAGATTCATTCTTATTGGATAAATTTACAGAAATTATAAGGGATTAAATTCGCTGGCGCTCAACCGGCTTGCTCAACGGCCGGTTGAACGCTTTCAGTACACACAGTAATACTGAGAGATGTTTAAGCGAGTGATTCGAGCTTCTAGTCTCTCTCATCTCACAAGTATACTAATCTGGAGGGTTAAAACAAGTTTACTATAAAAGCCTCTCCAAGTTTGACGCAATCTACAGAGGACAACAACGGCTGGCGACAACATTCAATTAAAAGTCGTGCTTCTCTCCGCTTCATACAAATGGCTTCTCCAACAGAACATTTGGCTGCTCTACTCTTTTATTCAATCGACATTGCTACTTGCACGTTTCCAGCAATCGCGTTGCTCCTGTTTTCTGTAATGATCGTGGCTTGTTGCAAGAAGAAAAAGGAGGAAGTTCAGGCCGAGGAAGAGGTAAAATTTTTTGGTGACATTTGGTCCCATTTTGGCGATTAATGTGTTTTTGATTTTTAGAGTCCAAAAAAGAAGAAACGAGACAAGGAGCGTAAGAAAGCAAAAGCTAAGCCGGAACCAGCAGGCGAGCCAGAGTGGAAGGTGGAAGAACATCGAGAGGGACTCGGTGAGGGAGGGGCTTACCAAACGCTGGATGACTTGAACTTGAACAAAGACATATTCTTGGAAGGAAAGCCAAACCAGCCGCCACAAGGACTCACATTCATGCAAGGAGGGAAGCCAAACCAGATGCCTCGACAAGGAGGGAGGCCAAATCAGATGATGCCACAAGCCGGTCGACAAACGGGGAGGCCAATGCAAGCACCCGGTCCACCATTTCAAGGAGGAGGAAGGCCAAGACAGACTCAAGTTGGTCCTCAAGAGATAGAAGACGCACATCGTGCTGGAGTTGGACAAGGACAAGACTATCAGACGTGGAATGCGTTGGACCAAAACGTTTTTGTCAACAAGAATAAAGCGCCATCTAATCAAATGACCAAAAATGCGCCGACTAATCAGATGACCAAAAATGAGGGAACTCCACGAGCAGGTATTGGACAGGGTGCGGATTATCAAACGTGGAATGCCTTGGATCAGGTAGAGAGAGATTTGTCAAGAGGAGTTGATGTTTTTGCGGACATTTCTTTCGGCTAACTTTCGCGGACAAATTTTGCGGACAAATTTTTACGAGTTAAAAAAATCCGCAAAAAATTTGCGGACAAAACAAATCCGCAAAATTTGTCCGCAAAAATACCAACTCATCTAACAAGTGCATTTAATTTTCTGACGTTGTCTAATGCTTTTCTGTATTTTTCAGAATGTGTTTGTGAAGGGACGACGATAAATGCTCAACCATTCTGCCTTGTTTGCCTAAATCTCCCTAAAAGAACTTGAATAGTCAGCTTGTTAAATTGATGTTTGATAAATTTATGTAAAATGTTTGTTGTATATTTTTGTTGTTTGTATGTTTGTTTGTGTGTTGTTTGATAAAATAAGTTGAGAAATTTCTCTCCTTTTTTAATTTTGAGCAGAAAATTTTATAGGAAGATATCCTAAAGGAAACAAGTCCCAAAAGCATGGTAGTCTCAAAACTCAGAGACCAAGACCAAAAGAAACTCGAGAAGACTGACGGAAACTAGGTTCTCAGAAAGGAAGCATGGTTCTCGAAACTCAAGAGTAATGTGAAGGGAACAACGAAAAGTGTTGTGGGTAGTATGAAGGGTAGTGCGAAGGGAACATCAAAGTAGGGTGAAGAGAACATCGGGTAAAGAGAACAAGACAAGAGTCACGAACCTCTCGAAAGTATACGATCCTCAAAACTTAATCCTCACTCACTGAGGATCTCTGTGGCTTTGTGTTTAATGTGGCCCAGATGGATTGAAAAAATTTATACTGTACACATTAATATTTAATCATTTCAAGTATTTACCATTTTGCGGAAGCATAGTAACACCAGCCAGAACTTGAGCATCTTGTTCCCTCATTAATGCTACAAGTAATTGTTCTTGATTAAATGGACTGATGGATGGATTCAAGCGAAATTCAATCTAAAAAATATATATTAAGTAAAATTTTCGAAAAAATGTCTATTTTTCTGATATTTTCAAAGAAATTTGGGAAATATCAGGCCAAAAATTCTGAAATTTATAGCAATGGTAGTCTAGTTCAAGGAGTATATCTGGGCAAAATTTCATAATTTTGGGTTCATTTTTGCCTATTTTATAAGCCCTCAACTTAGCTTTATTTGTAATAAAACCTACCATAAATCCATCATTTTCACCCATTTCTCCTTCATTTTTGGTAGAATTTAAAGAAAATGCTAAGAGAGAATTTTCTCCATTAAATTCAATACTCTTCATTTCCTCTTCAAATTTCTCATCTTTATTTTCACATTGTTGTCCTAACCAGCCAGGAGGGCACAAACATTTTGCATGGCCATCCTCCCATAGACAAACACCTCTATAACACCAACGACGTCTGTCAACTGGACAAACACCGTCTGTTGAAGGAAGAGTACAAAATTTGCCAGTAAATCCGGATTGGCATTGACACTAAAAATTGTATAACTAAATTTCATAAAAGAAATTTATAGGGGTAGGGTGAAGGGAACATAAAGTAGTGTGAAGGGATCAACGAAATAGTGAGGGGTTGTTTGAAGAATAGTGCGAAAGGAACATTAAAGTAGGGTGAAGGGAACAACGAAATAGGTGTGAGGTGGTAGTTTGAAGGGTAGTGTGGAGGGAACATTATGTAGTGCAAAGGGAACAACGAAATAGTGAGGTGTAGTGCGAAGGGAACATTAAAGTAGGTTGAAAGGAACTTAAAAGTAGGGTGAAAAGAACATGACAGTAACATGAAGGGAACCTCAAAGTAGGGTGAAGGGAACATCAAAGTAAAGCGAAGGGAACATCTAACAGTAGGTTTAATGTTCCCTTTGTACTACCTCACATTCCCCCAATTATCAACTCATTTTTCACCTGAAACACTCCCCATCTATCAAGAAAACATCTTCCTCTATTCTTACAAGGCTCTCGAGAGCATTCATTAACTCGTTGTTCCAGACTGCTCTTTTGATGCGTATTTTCCTCTAAAGAAATTTTCCCTTGATTTTCCTTTAGATTTTTCAAATCAATTTCTTTATCATTCAATTTTAGTCTTCCAATTGACCCAACAAAAGGTAGAGACGTTTTTTGAAGATTTTGGAGTCTATATGGATCTACTCCTCCTAGAAATATGCGTGAAGAACCAAAAACTTTGGTAGACGGCTTGTCCAATCTTCCTGGAGTACTGTAGAAGAGTTCAGCTGGAACTTGAGAATTCACCCGAAGAGAAGCTTAAATAAGATTAGATTGAGATATTTAAAGCTTTTGGCGTGTTGGAAAATGGGCGTTTCGAGTTTGAGTGTTTTGAATATTTGTATTAAGTTCAGAAAATTTTGCACGATTTTCAGAATTTTTTTTCGAATTTTTTTTTGAAATTCAGGACCAAAGGTGGTTTTTTGAAATTCAGGATCTTCCGATTCTAAAATTTTGGAAAAATTTGCGATTTGCGGCAATTTTTATACATACATCTCCGAATGTTCCCACCCTCATCCCGTCAGGACGCCCGTAAAGTATACCCGGACCTTCTGTAGTACCCTGACAGCAAGGGGGTCTCTTACAGGGAGCTCCGAATAATATTCCATAATTAAATTTTTCTCAATTAAAAGTCACCTCTTCCATGAGGATTGTTAATTACTCTCAAAATTGACCATTTATTCTTTTTTAATTTCAAGTTGCTTCTAAGTACTTCTTAAAAAATTTATTATTGAAATTAAATATATTAAGTATTCTTACTCTCTTTATTTAAATAAATATTTTTAAAAGAATATTGGGGATATCCATTGACCAGTTCAAGTCTGTGAATAATTCCAGGTGGTCCAATAGACGGGGCAGAGCTGGTTGCATGGACAATTACTCCATTTGAAGAGTGTGGAAGGACATGAAAATTTAAATAAAAATTAATTTATTCTTGTGGGAATGATTAAGGAAGCTCATTTGTCAGGTCAATCCAGAAGCTTGTGGAAAATGTTCTACTTAAGGCGATCTGGACGGTTATGGGCTCCATAGTAACTGTTAAATTGACACTTTGTTATTCTAAAATATTGGCATTTTGAGTTTGGGTTTTTAATTTTTGTGTCAGTTCAGTATAGAACAACGGGTTTGGGAGTGTATGCGAGATATTCGGAAGAATCTCGATTATAGAGATTTTTGTTTAAGATCTCGCCTTGGTCCTGTCTTTAGTTCAGAACATTATTCTCAACTTCAAATCCACCTTTTAGGCAATCTGAATTCCTCCATAAAGTGCCCATTATCTTTAAATTATTACTTGTAATTCCAAATCAAAATAGTCAAGTGACTGATTCCGTTCTGAAGTCAATTCAACTGGCCCTGTCCCCAAAAATTCTAAAGTCGAAGATGGAGGTTCGAAAAGCTCGTTCTCTTTAGCTTCGGTTTCCGCTGCTTGTACTTCGAGTTCATTTACACCTCTACTCTCCGCTGGCAATAAAGGATCAGGCTCTACAATAGATACAATACTCTCCTCAGGTTTCAGTGTGCTTTCTGAAAAATATTTTTGAAATGTAATAATTTTTTAAAAATTCCTAAAATCCTAGAAATCAGCTAAGAATAGTCGAATGCCTCACGAAACAAGGAGTTTGTTGTCATACTCTCACGGATCCCTAGGTGGTTTTTAAATAAACCGAATTCTAGAAAATAAGTAAATGATTAGATACATAGACTTCGATCGCAAGTGCCCCCTCTGAAGCACTCGTTCTTATACTCTCAACTAGGGTTGACATTTTTGATTTTTTCTGTTTTTTTTTGTTTTTTCGCCGACGTTCGGTGCATTTTTTCGAGCTTTTCGAGCTGAAAAGCCGCGGCTCGCTCGATCATTCGAGTTTCGGTTTGAGCGAGCTGGCAACCCTACCCTCAACCATTCCTACACCATAAAGTAGACTGAAATCAGAGCTGTTTCGAAACAAAAAATTTTTTGGAAATCGAAAAAAGTTGAGCCCGAGAATGGGAGAAAAACCTAGAAACGCGTAAATCGAAACTTCGTAATAGATCATAATAGATCTGACTCGAGGAAACCTAGCGTCCTTACAATCGAAATTGCTTTTCAATACAGACTATGTACAATACAAAAATTCACGTCAAACAACAATTATATATGTTTTTCACCCAACACAACAAGGCAAAAATTTTTTTTTTAATTTTTTATTTAATAATAAACAAAGGAAGTGAATATTTTTTGTTCTTTTTCACTGGGTGGCAGTGCAAAAGTAGGAGAGAAAGGCAAGAAGTATTTTTTAAAACAATTAAAAATGGCGAGTATGTAAATTTAAACAATGGAAATTAAAGATCAGAATAAAAAAAACTTTTAATTGAATTTTAAATTTCTGATAGAAAATGGAGCTTAAATTAGTGTGAAAAATGTATGTATGTACATTGTATTTTCGAATCAAACAATACAGAACAGAATTATGGAAATCAGAATTAAAAATCAGAATTTGTATTTTATTAGGTATTACAAAAATCAGAATTTGTGTTTTTAGCTAATCAGAATTAAAAATATCAGAATTTTTATTTTCCAAAAATCAGAATAATTAATTCTGGTCATATTACAGATCAGAATTTTTATTTTTCAGAATTAAAATTCTGATTAATATTCTGAGTAATCAAAATTAGGAATCAGAATTTTAGTTTTAAATCAGAATTTGTATTTTCCATCAATCAGAATTTATAAATAGTTGTGAAAAATATCTATAATTTAAAAATTCTGATTTATTATCAAAAGAAAATTAAATATAGTATTCAGAATATTTTTTAAATTGAGCGATAAAAATGGCAATATGAAGTGAAACAAAAAGCAAATAAATTTAAAAAATTTCTATTTTATTCAAGACCAAAACCAAGAACCAAAAGTGCTATGTCGCCCAGAAACAGGCGGTAGATCGTGTCTAATTTCATAATTATGGTAATGCTTTGCATGGTTATTGTGTGAACGTCCGGCTCTGTGATATCTGGAATTTTCAGAAATTTTTTTTTTGGAATTTCAAAAAAAAATAACAAAAAATTTTCATAAAAATTTTTTTTGAAATTTTCAAAAAATTTTCAGAATTTTTCAAAATTTTTTTGAAATTTCTTGAAAAGTTCCAAAAAGATACCTCTCAGCCCTGCGCCTCAAATTAGCTCCTCTAACTTTCTGTTTTTGCACATTTTTCTTATCCTTAGAGGCATTTAATATAACCACTCCAACATCTCCTTTTTTAACGAGAGCACGCCTCCTTTGATGCCTTAGTCTACGTAGACGGCGACGTCTAGATGGGTAGGTGGGGGCTGGCCGTCCAAGTTCAACCTTAATTTTGTTAATTTAAAGTCGGGAATGGATTTTCTTCCTTGGGTCATTGAGAATTCAGGAACTATCTACTCGATATTGTAGTGTAAAAATACTCTAGGTTATGAGAAGGTTACTGTATTTAATAGCTCCCTATTTAAGATGTGTAAAATAAGTACGATAAGAGATTGGCGGCGCTCATAAGAGATTTACGGGGTATTTCAAGGATCCTTTTTAAAAAAACTGACCACTTCGGTATGTAAATTATGTTGTTTCCCTTCTTCATTATTTTCAGCTAAAGTATATTCAACGCCTTTAGGTTGTTCTGGAGGTCTTTTAGTTATTTTGGGTCTATGTAAATGCTTTCTCCGCCGTTTTTCTGCTTCAGTTTCCTCATCATTTTCAACGTTTAAGAGAGCTGAGGTTTCTAATATTCCTTCTGACGTGTGTGCCCGACAACGATATTTTCCGGTGTTTTCGGAAGAGATGGAAGTGAACAATAAGCGATTGCCAGTAACCTGGAGAAGCAAAATAAATTTTAAAAAATTACTAAAAATTTTTTCATGTATAAGTTATATATCATTCTACGCGGTTTTTTGAGCTGCGTCGAATGAGACCAAAATAGTCCTGATCGGACAAAAATTGACAAAGTTATAGTCAAAATAAGAAATATTGCCTGAGGGCATATGCAATTATTTAGGTCATATATACTTAGTAAATAAAATATTTTATATCATTCAACGCGGCTTTTCGAGCTGCGTCGAATGAGACTAAAATCCGTCCTGATCGGACAAAAATTGGGAAAGTTATAGTCAAAATAAAAAATATTGCCTGAGGGTATATTTTTATTTTTTGAAACTTGCCTGCGCATTTTCAGGCAGTTCATCAGAATCATCCTTCAAAAATTCAATTTTAGCATTAGGATCACCAGCAACCGAACAATCTAGCCATGCACGAGAACCTATAGTAACCGATTCGTCTGATACATTCAAAATAACTTTAAGTATTGTTTCGGGAACTTGAAATATTTTGTAAAATATTTAATTTTGTGTTTAGTTTTTACCAAATATTTTGGCATTCAAATATCCATTTACTGTATTCTGTCCATATTGAACTGAGCAACGGTAAATTCCGGCCATGGAATCGTCGAATTTATCGATACTAGAAAAATATGAATTTTTGATTCTAGAGGAGACTTAAGTAGGGTTGACATTTCATAGGTAATATACTGTATCTCTCAAATAATTAAGTTGGGTAATTATTGTAAATATAGCTTCTCTCGCTGTAGGGGTAATTAACAGAGGTTGGTAATTGTGAGGTTATCTTAGGAGGGCTAATTATAACAATTCTTAAGGGGGTAATTATTATTTCAACATCTGGCTGGAGAGGCTAATTCATAGGGGAAGGGGGGGGGGTAATTATTTGATGGAGTGTAATTAATAGGGAGGGTAACTTTTTGAGTAACTTCGGTGAAAATATTTTTTAATTATTCCTTACACCAATTTATCAGCTTCCTGATGAGCTCCTGAAGGCAAAGAATCTCCACTTTCCCGACTCCATTGAACCGTCGCACCGGGGACTACAAACACAGGGCAGGTAAATATGGCTTCTGAATCCTCGTCAAATTTGGACTCGACTGCGTCTAAAAATTAGAAGAAAATTATTTTGTATGGGGAAAGTTGATAGACAGTGACCACGTGAACTTAAACTTCCATAACTCATGAGCGGAAAGACTAACAGTGAAGCAAATGGTACCGTTAGATAGAGCAGAAAATTGGCTACTAGAAATAATAAAGAAT